TTATTTATTATATTATTATATTATTATTATTAATTTTATTGTTTTATTATTATTATTATTTTATTATTATTCAGCATTATTATTGTTATCTTTTATAATTATTTATTATTATAATTATTATTTTTATTGTTTTATTATTATTATTTATTATTAATAATTATTATTATTATTATTATTATTATTATTATTATTATATTATTATTATTTATAATATTATTATCTATTATTATAATTTTTATTATTATAAATATTATTATGTTTAGTGTCAATTATTAACGTACCAACTTATACATTGGGTGTTTTTCATGGTCATGTCGCTGCTAGATATATCGTCTTGGTGTTTTTTTCAATGGTTATTTGTGATTTAATTAATATACTTCTTAAAAAATTATTTTAAAGCTGGCCGAGGCGTTCGTTCAACACTGCGACTTGAAAGACGACCTACATAATGTGGTATGGGGTGATACTCTCACAGGGTGGGTATGGTGTGGACTACTTCACAGGATGGGTATGGGGGGACTACTGTCTACCAGGGATGGGTATGGGGTGACTCTGTCACAGGGTGGGTATGGGGTGACTACTGTCACAGGGTGGGTATGGGGTGACTACTGTCACAGGATGGGTATGGGGTGACTACTGTCACAGGATGGGTATGGGGTTGGGACTTACTGTCACAGGATGGGTTGGGGTGATACTGTCACAGGATTGGGTATGGGTGACTACTGTAACAGGATGGGTATTTTTGGTGGGGTGGCTACTGTCACAGGTGGGTATGGGGTGATACTGTACACCAGGATGGGTATGGGGTGGCTACTGTCCACAGGATGGGTATGGGGTGACTACTGTCACAGGATGGGTATGGGGTGACTACTGTCACAGGGTGGGTATGAGGTGACTACTGTCACAGGATGGGTATGGGTTTTTTTTGACCACTGTCACAGGGGGGGTTACCTGGGGGTGACTGCTGTCACAGGGATGGGTATGGGGTGACTACTGTACAGGATGGGTATGGGGTTGGTGTTGTTTGTTTTGTGTTGTTTGGTTGTGTGCGGGTGGATTGTGTGATTGGGTTTTTCTGTGGTGTTTGGGGTGGTATTGGTGGGGTTGTATTGTTTGTGTTTTTGGTGTTTTGCTTGGGTTTTTTTTTCTTATGTTGGTTTTTGGTGTTTCTGGTTTTTCTTTGGACTACTGTCACAGGATGGGTATGGAGGTGACTACTGTCACAGGATAGGGTATGGGGTGACTAACTGTCACAGGATGGGTATGGGGTGACTACTGTCACAGGATGGGTCATGGGGTTGATAATACTGTCACAGAATGGGTATGGGGTGACTACTGTCACAGGATGGGTATGGGGTGACTACTGTCACAGGATGGGTATGGGATGGCTACTGTCACAGGATGGGTATGGGGTGACTACTGTCAGAGGATGGGTATGGAGTGACTACTGTCACAGGATGGGTATGGGATGCCTACTGTCACAGGATGGGTATGGGGTAACTACTGTCAGAGGATGGGTATGGGGTGACTACTGTCACAGGATGGGTATGGGGGTGACTACTGTTACATGGATGGGTTATGGGGGACTACCTGTCACAGGATGGGTATGGGTTTTGATAACTGTCACAGGATGGGTATGGGGTGAATACTGATCACAGGATGGTATGGGGTGACTATGTCACAGGATGGGTCTATGGGGTGACTACTGTCACCAGGGTGGGTATGGATGGATACTGTCACAGGATTGGTATGGGTGAATACTGTCAGAGATGGGTATGAGTGACTCTGTCACAGGATGGGTATGGGATGCCTACTGTCACAGGATGGGTATGGGGTAACTACTGTCAGAGGATGGGTATGGGGTGACTACTGTCACAGGATGGGTATGGGATGGCTTACTGTCACAGGATGGGTATGGGGTGACTACTGTCAGAGGATGGGTATGGGGTGACTACAGTCAGAGGATGTGCACGGAGTGACTACTGTCACAGGATGGGTATGGGGTGACTACTGTCACAGGATGGGTATGGGATGGCTACTGTCACAGGATGGGTATGGGGTGACTACTGTCAGAGGATGGGTATGGGGTGACTACTGTCACAGGATGTGTATGGAGTGACTACTGTCACAGGATGGGTATGGGGTGACTACTGTCACAGGATGGGTATGGGGTGACTACTGTCACAGAATGGGTATGGGATGGCTACTGTCACAGGATGGGTATGGGGTGACTACTGTCAGAGGATGGGTATGGGGTGACTACTGTCACAGGATGGGTATGGGGTGACTACTGTCACAGGATGGGTATGGGGTGACTACTGTTACAGGATGGGTATTGGGGGACTACTGTCACAGGATGGGTATGGGGTGACTACTGTCACAGGATGGGTATGGGATGGCTACTGACACAGGATGGGTATGAGGTGACTACTGTCACAGGATGGGTATGGGGTGACTACTGTCAGAGGATGTGTATGGAGTGACTACTGTCACAGGATGGGTATGGGGTGACTACTGTCACAGGATGTGTATGGGGTGACTACTGTCACAGGATGGGTATGGGGTGACTACTGTCACAGGATGGGTATGGGGTGACTACTGTCACAGGATGGGTATGGGGGTGACTATGTCAGGATGGGTATGGGGTGAAAAAACTTTTTTTTTTTTTTTAAAACTGGTTTCAAAGGATGGTATGGGGTGACACTGTCACAGGATGGGTAATGGGATTGGCTACTGTCACAGGATGGGTATGGGGTGACTACTGTCAGAGGATGGGTATGGGTGACTACTGTCACAGGATGGGTATGGGGTGACTACTTCCAAGGGATGGTATGGGGTGACTACTGTCAGAGGATGGAGTATGGGGTGACTGCTGTCACAGGATGGTGTATGGGGTGACTACTGTCACAGGATGGGTATGGGGTGACTACTGTCACAGGATGGGTATGGGGTGACTACTGTTACAGGATGGGTATTGGGGGACTACTGTCACAGGATGGGTATGGGGTGACTACTGTCACAGGATGGGTATGGGATGGGCTATGACACAGGATGGGTATGAGGTGATACTGTCACAGGATGGGTATGGGGTGACTACTGTCAGAGGATGTGTATGGAGTGACTACTGTCACAGGATGGGTATGGGGTGACTACTGTCACAGGATGGGTATGGGGTGACTACTGTCACAGGATGGGTATGGGGTGACTACTGTCACAGGATGGGTCATGGGGTTGATACTGGTCACAGGATGGGATATGGGGGTGATTACTGTTACACAGGATGGGTATGGGGTGACTACTGTCACAGGATGGGTATGGGGTGACTACTGTCACAGGATGGGTATGGGATGGCTACTGTCACAGGATGGGTATGGGGTGACTACTGTCACAGGATGGGTATGGGGTGACTACAGTCACAGGATGTGTATGGAGTGACTACTGTCACAGGATGGGTATGGGGTGACTACTGTCAGAGGATGGGTATGGGGTGACTACTGTCAGAGGATGGGTATGGGGGTGAATACTGTCGTCAGAGGGATGGGTATGGGTGACTTACTGTCAGTGGATGGTTATGGGGTGACTACTGTCGAGGATGGTATGGGGTGACTACTGTCACAGGATGGGTATGGGATGGTACTGTCACAGGATTGGGTTAATGGGTGAGCTTCTGTCAGTGGATGGGTATGGAGTGACTACTGTCACAGGATGGGTATGGGGATGCTACTGTCACAGGATGGGTATGTAGAGGTGACTACTGCACAGGATGGGTTATGGGGTTATGAACTACTGTCACAGGATGGGTATGGGGTGACTACTGTCACAGGATGGGTATGGGGTGACTACTGTCACAGGATGGGTATGGGGTGACTACTGTCACAGGATGGTATGGGGTGGGTTACTGTCACCAGGGATAGGTTTGGGGTGGATACCTCTCACAGGATGGGTATGGGGTGGCTACTGTCACAGGATGGGTATGGGGTGGCTACTGTCACAGGATGGGTATGGGGTGACTACTGTCACAGGATGGGTATGGGGTGACTACTGTCACAGGATGGTATGGGGTTTGATACTGTCACAGGAGGGTATGGGGTGGCTACGGTCACAGGATGGCGTATGGGGGTGACTACTGTCACAGGATGGGTATGGGGTGACTACTGTAACAGGATGGTATGGGTGTCTACTTCACAGGATGGGTTTGGGGTGGCTACGTCACAGGATGGGTATGGGGTGACTACTGTCACAGGATGGGTATGGGGTGACTACTGTCACAGGATGGGTATGGGGTGACTACTGTCACAGGATGGGTATGGGGTGACTACTGTCACAGGATGGGTATGGGGTGACTACTGTCACAGGATGGGTATGGGGTGACTACTGTCACAGGATGGGTATGGGGTGACTACTGTCACAGGATGGGTATGGGGTGGCTACTGCTACACTAGTAATGAAGTATTTACAGGATCTTGATCTGGTTACATCTGGAGTTTACCAAGAGATAGTTCCGGGGGTCAACGCCCCCGCGGCCCGGTCTGTGACCAGGCCTCCTGGTGGATCAGTAGTGAGTTGGTAATAGACAAAAAAATCAGTAACAAAACATTACAATGTAGTTGCTAAATGTTTTTTTTTAATTATTTATACATTTTTAAGTAGTAGAAATATTTATAATAGCCAAAATCGAGGCACATTGCCAACTCAAAATTTTATTAGACAAAGAAATATACCTTTTCCATAGATATTTCCATTTTAATAATGGTTTAAATCAAGGCCAACCAAACGTAATGTAAAATTTGGCATTATTCTATCTATTTTTTATTTATATATGAGTCAAAGAGAGTGTATATAAAATAATCCGAATAAGTAGTTTTTTCAACTATCGACTAATTTTTAATAACCACGTTAAATAGGAAAAAACCCTGCATTTTTTATGGGTACAAAAATATGAGTGTGGAGTGTATATATATAAAAAAATTATATATATAATGTATATAAATGTTCATGGTTGGGTAGGACACCACCGCGGAGACTTCAACCATGGTGCGTCTGTTTTTCTCTTATTTCTGCTCTTATTCGTGGTATATATTGACATTTAGTGGAGTGTCTTGTTGCTAACATCATGGTGATATAATGGTAGAGGTGTGGCTAGCTATGGGGTGTATGGGAGGGGGTTTAATGGCAGAGATAAGACATGGACGGGGTGTTGAGGTGGATAAGTTGGAGACGTACATAAATACGCTATTAAAATTAAATAAGGTTATTTAGGCTCAAGTACATTTTAAATACAATTATTATACATATAAACTGCCTAGAATAACCCGAAACACGATTTTTTTTCCCACTGGGGTGGTGTCCCTGCTTAATATTACCTCTAAATGGAGTCGCTTTTAAGCGTAGCCACAATATGTTAATTCTACAATTATTTCCCCTCAAGGAAGGTTCCTTGATGCTGGTGAGGGGCTCTTGATCTACGGAATTGGATCTGTGCTCCAGTTTCCTGAATTAAACCTGAATACCTTCGACCCCCCCCCCATCAGGCACTGTATAATCCTACGGGTTTAGCGCTTCCCCTTGATTATAATAATAATCTGCAAATATTAAGCGAACTGTGTAATGGAGAGAGTTTAATTAAGACAGGAAACCCAGTGTTTGTGGTCACTGTGGGGCCCATACTAACCTCCCACTGGGGTGTACAAATATTAAATTAATTTAGGAACAAGTACACGTTCAGTACAAGAATTATTTGTAGTGTAAATTAACCAGGACCCCCCCCCTTCTTCAAAAAAAAAATGTGAGTGACTTTACCCCCCCCCCCCCGAACATGTTTGTTGAAGGAATGTGGTGTAGTGCTTGGGATGAGTTGGATCCATTAAAAATAAGCCACCCCCACCAAATAACATCCCTGTATCACCAATAACCCCCCCCCCCCACCCAACCAAACCACCCCACCCCCACAAACAACCACCCACCCCCCCACACCCCCCCCCCCCCCCCCAAACCCCCCCCCCCCCCCCCCCCCCCCCCCCCCCCCCCCCCCCCCCCCCCCCCCCCCCCCCCCCCCCCCCCCCCCCCCCCCCCCCCCCCCCCCCCCCCCGATGGCTTATTGTCGCAGTTGGTCCAGTGCGTTAGCGCACTGGGGGGGGGACCCTGGGGGGGTTCTAGGACTACCCTCCCAGGGGTTCTGGGTCTACCCTGCCGGGGTTCTAGCTACCCTCCCAGGGGTTCTAGGTTACCCTGAAAGGGTTTTAGGACTACCCTGCCAGGGGTTCAGGACTACCTCCCGGGGGTTTTCTAGGACTACCCTGCCAGGGGTTCTAGGTTTACCTCCCGGGGGGTTCTGGGGGATACCTGCCAGGGGTTCTAAGGGGTCAAACCCTGCCAGGGTTCGGGGGATTCCTCCCCAGGGGTTCTAGGACTATCCTGCCAGGGGTTCTGGACTATCCGCCGGGGGGTTCTAGGTTACCCTGCCAGGGGTTCTAGGACTATTCCTCCCAGGGGTTCTGGGGATTATCCTGCCGGGGGGTTTAGGCTACCTGCCGGGGTTCTAGGTTAAACCCTGCCAGGGGTTCTAGGGCTTCCCCCAGGGTTTGGCTTCCTCCCCCGGGGGTTTTTGGTTATTTTCCGGGGTTTCTAGGTCAGGAGGGGGTTTAGGTTCCTCCGGATTTCTAGGATTTCCGGGGGTCGGGGGCCCCGGGCCGGTTTTGAACCTCCGGGGTTTGGATTAACCCCCCGGGTTTTTGGCACCCTGCCAGGGGTTCTAGGGTCTTTTCCAGGGTTTTTGGGACTGCCCCCCAGGGGTTCTGTTACCCCAGGGGTTCTGGGGACTGCCCTACCAGGGGTTTTTAGCTGCCCCTCCGGGGTTTGGACCTGCCTCCGGGGGTTTAGGAAAGCCCTCAAGGGTTCTAGCCCGCGGGGGTTTTTAGGATTACCAAGGTTCTCTCCCTCCGGTTAAAAAGGCCCCCCGCGCTCCTGGGTTTTTTTTTTGGCGCCTACCAGGGGTTTACTGCCTAAGGGGTTTGGGAGGGGCCCTACCGGGGTTTGGGAAAATTCCCTAAGGGGTTAGGCTGCCCTACCAGGGGTTCTATTACCCTGCCAGGAATCGGATACCCTGGGGGGTTTAGTTACCCTCCCATTCATTCCCTGCCAGGGGGTTTGGCTATGCCAGGGGTTTGATCCCTGTTTGGATTTAATTTATGTTTTACATAGGGGGAAAAATTTTCCCATTGGTCGAGGAAGGGATTTAATTGTATTGTTCCCTTGGTGTATTTGGTGAAAAATATTGAACTTTTTTTAAACTAAAAATTTAAGGGGTTCCCCCAATGATATAGTTTTTTTGTTGTGCAAATATAAAAAAATATGAAATGAACCCCAACATACCTAACTTGTGCCACATGAATGCCCCCAGGTTATTTTTTGGTTATAGTATTATATTTTTTAAAATGACCATTATTAAAAGGTTTTGCGATGGATATAGCTTTTTTTGTGCAGATTAAAAAAATTAAATGTTTTTCAAATAAATTTAACATGACTAATTGCCAAATGTAACCATATCAGCAGATATGGAAATGATTTGTATTTATGTTCATTATGATTGGCTCTATAAGTCTAATGACTGATCCATGATTGGCCAGTGCCACTGGATATTCTGTGTGGTATTCTGCCCAAAATAAAGGTATTAGTTTTGCCCTATCCCCCAAAATAATTTGATAAGGGTTTTTGATCTTTTATGCATTGCTAAGTATTAAAATAGTGACCTAGTTCTCCGGGGGAGTAACATTGTCAAAAAAAAAGCAACCCTGGTCTCAGATTGGGCTGTGGGGGGCATTGATCCCTAAAATCCTCTCCAGGTATACTCCTCTCCAGTTAATTGAGATTGAGGTAAGTGCTAGGTCAGGTTTGTTGGATAATGTTTATTTTTTAGGTTACCAAGAAAAAACTTTCTCTCCATAGGCTTAAATGGCATATAACCTTTAATGCTAATTTTAAATAATCATAACCCCCTTTGCTTGCCTAAAAGGGAAACCCTTTCTTGTCAAATATTGTGTATAGTAAATTCTGTTACTAATAACCACAATGAAACTACTATATGCTATCATGTTTTGGTACTGAATTTATAACTTTAAACTCATTACTATTGTTCTAAAATCAACAAATTTGTAAGTAGCTCATTACCACTGTACCTTAAGTAGCAAACTCGAATGTTGAAATCCCGTCCATGAAACCCCTTTACGCCTTGATAATTTTTGACTACTGTCCACAGGATAGATATAAATTGCTTAATTAAGATATCAAACTACCTAACCTATACAGTAAATACAACCATCATATTTTTTTTTTTATTACAAATTCTTACTAATTCATGTGATTTTTTTTATTTTTAAGGGCCCCCCAAAAATGTGAAGCATACTTCTAAAAGCTCCCTATCTGTTAACCATTTCAAAAATAGCAAAAAAGAAAACTACTGAATTTGATGTAATTCATGATGATGATCATGATCAAATATAAGTGTCAAATATATCTAATTCAACCTGCCCATCTAGATTCCAGTCATCAAATTACATTCGTGCACTACTTGTCTCAACCATGCCCTATCCTCCAGTTTTATTACTCAAGCTGCCAGTAATGCATTGTGTTAATCCCCTCATATTAGCATTGCAGTTATTTATAGAAGGTTTGATACCCTGAACAATCATTTTATTGATGATCATATCCTCAGACTAATTAGTTATATTAACCCTTAGCATTTACATTGCCTTGGTGGGAGACTGCCGACTTGTTAAAAAAAAAAAATACGTAATCTGCCTTGAGCTGATTGTTGTCAGGTTATTTTCATATTATTAATCTGCACAAAATACATTGCATAATTATGGGCTTCGTAATTAAGAAATTTTCTTTGTAAACCAGGGTCTCTAAATCTATGCATCTTCTTGACAAATAAGGTATACTTTAGCTTTAGTTTTAAATGTGTATAAATGTGTGCAGTTCCTCATCTAGATTGTGAAAGATGTTCCTTGTAGCTTTCAAAGATTTATCAATAAAAAGTTTAGTGTACTCTAGGTTAAAAGATATTTTATAGTATCATACAGGTAGTATGGTACTATAAAATCATTATTTCATCATCTGTGAAGTTTGAATGACTAATATACAGAATTCTCAAGAACATGGAAGAGAACACTGAATGTTTAAAACCTGTTATTGTGAAAATTGTGTCTGGTATGTAGGAACAGATATTGATGAACTCTATATATTTTTTTAAATTAGTATTCTTGCTACATTTTAACTGTTCAAACGTTTAGAAATTGTATTGTTATTTTGTTCCCAAAAAAGTTCACTTGATCTTAGTTTATTACAGGACTAATTACTTGATAAATATTTATCTTAGTCAAAACTTAATGTTTCAGAATGACCACCAAGAGCAACAGAGTGAGGAGGAGGGGGAGGAGATGGAGATGACACAGCTGGGTGTTTCAAGATCATTTAAACATCCTCTCAGATGCAAATGGACAATGTGGTTTTTCAAGATAGAGCCTAACCTACCATGGGAAGACTGTCAGAAGGAAGTAACCAGCTTTAACACTGTTGAGGACTTTTGGTCGTAAGCTCAAAATTCAATTTAATAATTTATTTCCACATGATACATTGTTTGCACAGAAATGGGTGACACTTTATTATGCATGTTCGAAAGTCCATGGTTATGCAGAGCATTTTGGGTAAGCTGTGTCTTCAAGAGGGTTTATTGATGGAGTAAGGATCAGCCTAGTGTTCTCGTCCACCCTACATCGTAGGTCTCCAGAATTAAAAACTACAATATCAAATGAATTATCCAAGTTATTTATGTTGCTAGTGAAGGGCTCTTGAGCCAAGGAATTGCAGCTACCCTAACTTTTCTTGGATCAAGCCTTATTATTTTACATTCCTCTGACACTGTATGAGCTGTGGGTTTGGCACTTCCACATGTATATAATAAATTTGGAAAAAATAGGACTAATAGAGTAAAGCCTTGCATTTTTATAAAACCTGCAGTCCATTAATTTATGAAACTAATTTAGTGCATGTAAGATGACACTACATACTGTGCTATACTTGCCAGTTCTTCAAGTTATATCCACTGATTCATCTGTCACACCTAATGACTAATCCAGTCACATACCCATTGATCTCTCCAGCCAGATACCCACTGACTCATCCAGCCATGTACTCACTGACTCGTCCAACCGCATACCCACTAACCCTTCCAGTCACATACCCACTGGATATCCAGTCACACCATCCAAACCCACTCATCCACCCCCTCATTTATCTTGAAGTAACCCCAAGTGTACTGCCATCCACTGTCACATCACCACACCATTGCTATATATACCAGTACACCACTATCCAGATTACTACAGTAGCTGTAAGAAATGTGTTAGGAGGAGACTGTGAGAAATGGATCTTTTGTCCATGAAGGATTATGGATACATGATCACAGCATACAAATATTTCTTGGGCATAGACATGGCAGGCAAGAACAACCTCTTCATTGGAGCTAGAACAAGAGGACACAAATTGAAACTACACATAACTAAATCACAGACACATCAGGAAATATCACTTCAGTGTAGTTGTGAAGAAGTGAAGTTGCAAGACAGTGACAAAAGCAGTTGATTCCATATAATGGTTCAAATGCAGATATGTTATGACATAAGAATTCATGCCAGTTACTCAGTTGGTAAGAAAGACCAAGATATAGATATATTCCCCACTTCCCACATTTTAAGTTTTATGCCCCCCAAAAATCTGTCCTTTATACTAAATTGGAGAGGATGATTAAGAATCTGACAGTTATAACTTGAAGACACAATTATGCAGTAAGAAAACGGTGATAAATTGTATGGTAATGGTATTTCAGATAGTGACAATACCAACAGTGGTTCTGTGTATGTACTAGTTTTTGATGAAAATAGTATATGAAGCATAAGCATGTCGGGATTGCCAGGAGCAGCACAAATTGAGTTTGCATGTTACCTTGCTTCACATTCTGACACACAAAATAGTAATCATCTCCCATATTTATGGTTGTAGGGGTTGAGTCACAGCTCCTGACCCTGCCCCTTCGCTGGTCGCTACTAGGTCCACTTTCCCTGCTCAACGAGCTCTATCGTCTCTTCTGATGTGCATAGTGTTATTTGCTGCTTGCTACTTCACTAGGTGTTGGAATCATAATTTCTTTCAGAGTTATAGATTCTCTACTGCTGCTCTAACCATTAAATTGGAAATGATGGGCAAACTGCTTCAAGCAGACAGTAGCATAATAGACATGTATTATATTTTGTTTTATCATAATAATTGCACCTTTTAAAGTATAGGTTGAGTTTTGGGACTCTACAGCTTTTCAGGAGAGAGGTGTGCAATTTGAATAAAGTACAGTACAGTAGAACCCCCATATCCATAGGTTCAGTTTCTGTAGTTTCAGTTATTCATGGTTAATAATGGCTGCAGAGCACAAGAGTAATAGTGGTGGCAGTTCTTCAAAGCCTGAGAAGCCACAAAGTGCATCCCATCAGTGAAAAAGTGCTAATTCTCGACTTATTGTGCCTCGTACTGCCAAAATTTTAAATATGCAAAAAAGAACTTGATATATCCCAGCCACATAGACCAAAATGGGTTTATTTACTGAAAGAAATATCCTAATTGGGGTTAATATGCTCAGGCAAGCCCATTCAAACCCCTGCACAGAAGCCCTCCAAACTTTCCTCAGCACTGGTGAACACCCCTCCAGATGGATCGAAAAACTGGAACCAACCTCCTCATGAACCAGATACATGATTTATGTCAAGTAGGCAACAGCAGCACTTCTCCGCTCCACGGGATATTACCCCATTCCAAACTACCGTCCCTCCATTCCCCCCAAACTACTACTTAAATCACAACCAAAGCTTTGCCTTGAAGCCAAACAGGATGCCTTAGGCTGTATTGATAACTTAGTCACACAGCACATTTTTTTTTTTTTTTTTTATCACACTGGCCGATTCTGTTCACCAAACCACTGTTAGTGCTGCTGTTGTCATACAGAGTGATGGCTCTTAATGAAGTTGAAGCACATATCAATAATTGGGCCTCTACCCTTCAGACAGAACTGTTTGCCATACTCCTTGCACTCAAATGCGTCCATGTATCTAAGGTTGACACTTTAATTGTAATTGATTCTCTGTTATTCACAAATGGTCTCAACTCATTAAGTATAAATTGTGGCATGCTTGTGTCAGAAGCCAGACACAGGTATGGTAGGATTGTGGATAGTGGAGTCAGTGCACATGCTGTGGAATTCCATCTCACATTGGTCTTCAGATCTTGGTAGCACTGATAAATTGCTAATCTGTATGCTTTCCAAGAAGAGGTAGATTACAATCTGTCAGGTAGCATGTTTTAGAACAATAATACGAAAAGAACTTCAACGGAATTTTATTGAAATTAAAACTCAGGGAGATTTGACACTAGTCAGTTTCATCTATCATAAATTTCATCATGCAGGAGGAGCCACATGTCTTGGGTGCATTCAACAAGATAAGCCAACTCTTGATGTCACTACCAGCCTACGGCTGCTCCGGCTAGGTTACAATAATCTTTGGAAGGTTAAATCACCACCACCAGATGTAGACCAAACGAAATGCAAACTTTGCCAGATGGACTATTGTCACACCCTGCGTCATATGTATCTGGAGGCGATAAAATTAATGAATTTAGAAACAACTCACTCAGAAATGTTTCAAGATAGAAAAAGTTAAAAAAAAAGACAACAGAAAAAAAGAGAGAGAAAGGAAAAATGAAAACGAAAAAAAACAAATGAACTGGATTTACCATGGAGAAGTTCCGGGGGTCTAACGCCCCCGCGGCCACAGTTGTGACCAGGCCTCCTGTGGATCAGAGCCTGATCAACCAGGCTGTGCGCTGCTGCACGCAAACCAACGTAACGAGCTCAGCCCGGCTGTCAGTGAAACTGACTAGGTGCTTGTCCCAGTGCCAGCTTAAGACTGCCAGGGGTCCCGTTGGTATCCCCCTTATAAGCTGGGAGGCCGTTGAAACAGTGCTCGGCCCCTGACACTTATTGTATGGTCTCTTTAACGTGCTAGTGACACCCCTGCTTTTCATTGGGGGGATTGGTGTCAATCGTCTGCCAAGTCTTTTGCCTTTCGTAGTGGAGTGATTTTTCGTGTGCAGTTCGGGTAACTAGGCCCTCTAGGATTTTCCAGGTGTATATAATCATGTATCTCTCCTCCCGCCTTGCATCCAGGGAATACAGGTTTAGGAACTGCAAGCGCTTCCCAGTAATTGAGGTGGTTTTATCTCCGTTATGCGCGCTGTGAAGGTTCTCTGTTACATTTTCTAGGTCCAGCAATTCACCTGCCTTTGAAAGGTGCTGTTAGTGTGCAGCAATATTCCAGCCTAGATAGAACAAGTGACCTGAAGAGTGTCATCATGGGCTTGGCCTCCCTAGTTTTGAAGGTTTTTTCTCATTATCCATCCTGTCATTTTTCTAGCAGATTGCGATTGATACAATGTTATGGTCTTTGAAGGTGAGATCCTCCGACATGATCACTCCCAGGTCTTTGACGTTTGGTGTTTCGCTCTATTTTGTGGCCAGAATTTGTTTTGTACTCTGATGACGATTTAATTTCCTCGTGTTTACCATATCTGAGTAATTGAAATTTCTCATCGTTGAACTTCATATTGTTTCTGCAGCCCACTGAAAGATTTGGTTGATGTCCGCCTGGAGCCTTGCAGTGTCTGCAATGGTAGACACTGTCATGCAGATTCGGGTGTCATATGCAAAGGAAGACACGGTGCTGTGGCTGACATCCTTGTCTATGTCGGATATGAGGATGAGGAACAAGATGGGAGCGAGTACTGTGCCTTGTGGAACAGAGCTTTTCACCGTAGCTGCCTTGGACTTTACTCTGTTGATGACTACTCTCTGTGTTCTGTTAGTGAGGAAATTATAGATCCATCGACCGACTTTTCCTGTTATTCCTTTAGCACGCATTTTGTGCGCTATTACGCCATGGTCACACTTGTCGAAGGCTTTTGCAAAGTCTGTATACATTACATCTGCATTCTTTTTGTCTTCTAGTGCATTTAGGACCTTGTCGTAGTGATCCAATAGTCGAGACAGACAGGAGCGACCTGTTCTAAACCCATGTTGCCCTGGGTTGTGTAACTGATGGGTTTCTAGATGGGTGGTGATCTTGCTTCTTAGACCCTTTCAAAGATTTTTATGATATGGGATGTTAGTGCTATTGGTCTGTAGTTCTTTGCTGTTGCTTTACTGCCCCCTTTGTGGAGTGGGGCTATGTCTGTTGTTTTTAGTAACTGTGGACAACCCCGTGTCCATGCTTCCTCTCCATAGGATGGAAAAAGGCTCGTGATAGGGCTTCTTGCAGTTCTTGATGAACACGGAGTTCCATGAGTCTGGCCCTGGGGCAGAGTGCAGGGGCATGTCATTTATCGCCTGTTCGAAGTCATTTGGCGTCAGGATAACATCGGATAGGCTTGTGTTAATCAAATTTTGTGGCTCTCTCATAAAAAATTCATTTTGATCTTCGACTCTCAGTCTGGTTAGCGGCTTGCTAAAAACTGAGTCATATTGGGACTTGAGTAGCTCACTCATTTCCTTGCTGTCATCTGTGTAGGACCCATCTTGTTTAAGTAGGGGCCCAATACTGGACGTTGTTCTCGACTTTGATTTGGCATAGGAGAAGAGATATGTCTAAGTATTTTATCCACAGTGGTATATTACAGACAATTTTGAATAAAATACCCTGACTTTGCTCCATGTAAATAAAGCATTACCACTGTGTGTGTGTGTACTCGCCTAATTGTGGTTGCAGGGGTCGAGACTCAGCTCCTGGCCCCGCCTCTTCACTGATCGCTACTAGGTCCTCTCCCTCTCTGCTTCCTGAGCTTTGTCATACCTCTTCTTAAAACTATGTATGGTTCCTGCCTCCACTACTTCACTTGCTAGGCTATTCCACTTTCTGACGGCTCTATGACTGAAGAAATATTTCCTAACGTCCCTGTGACTCGTCTGAGTCTTCAGCTTCCAGTTGTGACCCCTTGTTTCTGTGTCCCCTCTCTGGAACATCCTATCTCTGTCCACCTTGTCTATTCCCCGCAGTATCTTGTATGTCGTTATCATGTCTCCCCTGACCCTTCTGTCCTCCAGTGTCGTCAGTCCGATTTCCCTCAACCTTTCCTCGTACGACATTCCCCTGAGCTCTGGGACTAGCCTTGTTGCAAAGCTTTGTACTTTCTCTAACTTCTTACATGCTTGACCAGGTGTGGGTTCCAGACTGGTGCTGCATACTCCAGTATGGGCCTAACATACACAGTGTAGAGTGTCTTGAACGATTCCTTATTAAGGTATCAGAATGCTATTCTCTGGTTTGCCAGGCGCCCGTATGCTGCAGCAGTTATCTGGTTGATGTCTGCCTCCGGAGACATGCTCGGTGTTATGGTCACCCCAAGATCTTTCTCCTGGAACGAGGTTTGCAGTCCTTGGCCATCTAGTCTATACTCTGTCTGCGGTCTTCTTTGCCCTTCTCTGATCTTCATGACTTTGCATTTGGCAGGGTTGAATTCAAGAAGCCAGTTGCTGGACCATGTGTCCAGCCTGTCCAGGTCTCTTTGAAGTCCTGCCTGGTCCTCATCTGATTTAATTCTCCTCATTAACTTCACATCATCTGCGAACAGGGAAACCTCTGAGTCTATCCCTTCCATCATGTCATTCACATATACCAGAAAGACCGTAGGCATACTGTGAAAGATATGATACTACGTTCCACAATCAGCTCTCCTGGCACTGTACCATTCACTCGTATACCCTTATTTTACATATGGAATTTGTGCATGGGGATCAACAACATCCAATCACCTAAAACCCCTAATAACCCAGCAAAAGGCAGCAGTAAGAATGATAACAAATTCCCACTCCCGCCAGCATACTCCACCAATTTTCAAAATTCTGAATCTGCTTACCATTAAGAACATCCATACTTATTCATGTGCCTACTACATACACAGAACAATACACGCAAATATAAACCCCCCACTCACTTTTCCTCACCAGCCTAAACAGGACACAAGACACAGACCTCTTTTTGATATACCTCGTGTCCATATCACACTGTGTAAAAACTCTATGCACATAAAGGGCCCCAAAATATGGAATTCATTACCAGAAGTTATTAAAGTAACCCAGTCTGAAAATCAATTTAACACTCTTCTCAAAAGCCACTTAATCACCCTAGACTAAATGCTAAATACACAGTACACATTTATTCACCTGTGTACTCCCACATCATAACTGAAACAATCACATTGAGCCTTTTATCCATTGTTGACAGGACTATAATTGAATCATTGTTTTTCACAATAGCATTTTAGAATATAAATACGTATATCTTTGTATTATACAAATTTTGATTCATATATAATTAATATTCTACTGTACAACTATGAAATAATTACTTTCCTACTGTATAACTATGATATACTACTCCTTAGTATTAAGTAGAATGTAAGCCTGTAATGTTAAGTTGGCCCATAATGCCAAGGCATAATAGAGGCTCTCTTTGCATTGTATCCCACTATTGTATATACACAATCTCAATGTACTGTTTGCAAAGACATTAAATAAATTAATAAATAAATAAATAACCCTGGTCCTAGGACCGACCCCTGTGGGACCCTGCTCGTTACACGTGCCCACTGTGATACCTCATCCCATACCATGACTCATTGTTGCCTCCCTGTCAGATATTCTCTGATCCATTGCAGTGCCCTTCCTGTTATACGTGCCTGATCCTCTAGTTTCTGCACTAGTCCCTTGTGAGGAACTGTGTCAAAGGCCTTCTTGCAGTCCAAGAAAATGCAATCAACCCACCCCTCTCTCTCTCTCTCGTGTCGTACTTTTGTAACTTTGTCATAGAACTCCAGAAGGTTTGTGACACAGGATTTGCCTTCCATGAATCCATGCTGGTTGTCGTTTATAATCTTGTTCTGTTCCAGGTGCTCTGCCACTCTCCTCCTGATAATCTTCTCCATGACTTTGCATACTATACATGTGTGTGTGTGTGTGTGTGTGTGTGTGTGTGTGTGTGTTGTGTGTGTGTGTGTGTGTGTGTGTGTGTGTGTGTGTGTGTGTGTGTGTGTGTGTGTGTGTGTGTCTGTCTGTGTCTGCTTGTGTGTGTGTGTTTGCATGTGTATTTGTATACTCATATATGTGTGAGTGCTTATACTCGTGTGTGTGTACTCACCTATTTGTGTGTGTGTGTGTGAGAGAGACTCAACAATCAATATTTGCACCAATAACTCATTACAGTTGTGACCGGGTGTGGACGTGTGAATTGTTCATTACTCTATAATTTGTTCATGATTGTAGCCATGTATAAACTTAAGTAAATTTATGTACAGGATTCTTTACCTTTGTAACTTGTGAGTTCATTACCTTTGTACCTAGTTCAGCTATCAAAACTTTGGGGACCAGTCCCTGGACCCATTATGTACCTCTGTAATCTTTTGACTACTGCCCACAGGATGGGTATGGGGTGCATAATAAACATATTAAACTAACTCGTACATTATTTATCAGTTAAACTTTATTGTAGGTACATATGTATGTAAATGAAAAATGAAAGGTATAGGTTTCATTACTATCCATGGTTTTGGGTATCCACTGTATGTCTTGGAACATATTTCCTGTGGATATGGGGAGACTACTGTACAGTATATTTAAATTTGTGATAAAGTACAGATATTATTTTTCTTTATCAACCAAGTAAGTTAAGTCCTGCCAGCGAATGTGGTAACAGGTAATACTATGGGTGTCAGAATACAGTATACTGTATTACTATTAGCCAGTGTTTTACTTATTTTATGTAATTTATCTTTCTTTTTATAGACTGTATAATCACATTGAACCTCCATCACGGTTGAAACCAGGGCGTGATTACTCTTTGTTTAAGGAAGGAATCAAACCTATGTGGGAAGATGAGCGAAATTGTAAAGGAGGACGCTGGCTTGTCACTATCAACAAGCAGCAACGTTCTACAGAACTAGAAATATTGTGGTTGGAAATTGTAAGTAGAAATAGAGTAGTTCTGAGTAGAAATAACTATGAGATTAGCTTAATAATTTTGCAGTGTGGCAGTAGGATATTAAGAGAACTCTTATGAAAAATAGTATTGATGTGGTATCAGGGCCTCCACAGCTGGGATGTGCATAGATACGAAAAGTATCAATAGAGCATAATGTGACTTTGTCCAGTTATGATGTGGTTGGGATTATTTCTTAAACAGTTGACTACAGTACATAAACAGACATTTTATCCAGGACTACACTACATTAACAGACATTTTATCCAGTTAATGGGAAGACAGGTCCAGGTCCTTGGATCATGAGTCCTTCACCACCTCTGAGGGGTCACAAATGGTCAATAACTTTTAGTCCTCACATTATGATTTTAGATCTTAAATTTTCACACTTACTGTGCACACAGGTTCTTGGGTGAACTGGAATTTCCTCGGAGACATTCTGTATCTCTTGTGTGTAGAAGGTGGTTATAATTTTCTGAAATGACACTGTCCTTATAGGGAATTTTACTAATGTTGATCACTCAGTGAGGCTCCCATGAAGTAATGAGTGGTGGGACAAATGTCATGACACATCCATGGCTTTTATATACGACAACTGTGATGAGAAATAGACTGAAACCACAGAAACCGAATCAATGGATGTGGGGTCCTACTGTACCTAGGATTTTATCATTGTGTCTCATGGTGCATGTATTGTTCATCAATATGTTTAAATTTATGTCTTTAACATTTTGTAGAAGGTTTTGTCAGTATTGACTGCGAGTATGTTGTCATCCACGCACACCTTTTTGAACATTACCTATAGTTAAGGACAATAGGATTTACACTTGCAGTGACATGTTACGTCATCTGCAAACAGAATTGGTTTTAGTTCTTGCAAGGCATTGGGAAGATCATTGATATAGATAAGGAATAGTAGAGAGTCTTGTCAGTGCTCTTAATAATATCAAGTTTTTAAAATTACTGACTTCAGCTTTTGGCACTTTACAGCTAATGTTAATGATTGGAGAAAATTTTGAAGATCATAATGAAGAAATTTGTGGCGCTGTTGTAAATATACGCAACAAAGGAGACAAGATAGGTGTATGGACTGCCAATTCTAAGAATAAATGTGGCATTCTTAAGATTGGGTAAGTTGATTTTTTCATTGATAAATGCCCAATAAAAGCAGTGAGAATATTTAATCACATTCCTTTGAAATAATTTTGTTTGTTAATTCGTAGGTACATATTGCAGAAAGTAGGTTTGTATTTCTCTGCGATTACTGTATCCTAAATTTATGTGGCAACTCCTAACTACAGGGGTTTAACCTAATGAAGCTACAATTCTCTAGCTTGTATTGAGTGAATATACTTTGGTTTAAGCCTTTGAGAATGTAAGACAGTCAGCATAAAGTTGCTTTGTATATTCATCAAGGTCATTCAGGACATGAAATATATAGCAACAGTTTTTCTTTATTTCCTAATGGAGATGGCAATATTTACAATTCAAGTAAGAAGGATAATGTAGAGGTTTGAGATATTTGCTATTCAGAGGGACATCTAAAGTGTCATATCCGTGCACCTCTGGCAAGACAGTGATAATACAAGTGATGGAGAAACTGCCTCTTTTTTGGTGGGAGACGGCCAGCATGTTAAAAAAAAAAAAATGGAACTGTAACGTCATGTCATTTATTTGATCAAAATAATTTTTCCAGTGAGATTTGCAAATCTGCAATGAAACTGAACTCGACCCAAACTATTACCTATCAAGCACATTCTGCCCAACAAAAAAAGGGCTCAGATGTACGCAGCATGTATACTATTTGAAAAGAAGAAATGAGTGTACCATGCTAAAGGAAGTCCTCCATGTGCAACTCCTGCCATGTCAAGGGATATCAAGGTTTGCATGTGTGCAAAATCAATAAAATCTTGTTCCTATTAATGTAAGTAGGTAAAGTATTATGAAATTTGTTTTATTTTTGTATTTATAAAGCTGTTTATACATGTATTACATTATAAACTTGTCAGATTTTTATGTACAAAGTTAGTATATAAGTCAGGGATTTACATTAACTTATTTATGGAAGAAGGTATTATAAAATTGTGATGTTTGTTGCATATTTCAACATCAAACTGTTTCACCTAATTGTATTTTGACTATTTTTAATTATGCAGTGTTACCCTAATGTATTTGTTTTATTTCTTAAAATCTAGGTAGAGTACTGTATTAATACTGTACAAGAGAATGGAACTTAGTCAAAACAGCTACCCCTTTATTTTTTTTATTGCTGGGTGTAGGTAATACAGCTGTGTTATATATAATGGTTATTTAGGTAACTGAAGTTTGCAATAAAAGAATCACTGAGTTTACTCAAGACTTAGGTCAGATGCTTGGTAATTTATTTATTAATAGGTAAAGATGTCAGTTTTATTTTCTTTGGTTAGACTTCTTCATACTCGTTGATGGCTTTATTTGAGAATGAAGCTATGAAATGGGAATGGGAGTGACATGGTGAGCAAGAAGCACCAATTATAATTTCTGTTCTGTAGTTTTGACGTTATATAAAGATTTCATGAGGATTCTTTGATTTTCATAGGAAAGTAAAACAAGATGCTTATTAAGTAATTCATTATGGATGAGAGTAAGTGCATGTGGCAAGGTCTTGTAGCTAGTACATGTACTGCTATGAGATCTGCTAATTTTTGTTTTGCATTTTCCGTAAAATCCTGTTTTATTATGCCATCAGAATTAACTTTGTATTATTTAACTTCTTTATAGTTATATTATGGCAACCTACTTTTCAAATAAAAAAATTTTCTTTTTACACGTATTACTTACGCCAATTAAGCATTTCAAGAATATTTGCTTTAAAATAACTGATTAATAATATATGGTATAAGTAAGAACAATATTACCTGGAGTTTACCTGGAGAGAGTTCCGGGGGTCAACGCCCCCACGGCCCGGTCTGTGACCAGGCCTCCTTATATATAGTACATATTTTTTCCTAGTTTCTATAAAACATGTGGTATACCTGGAGGGTAAGTTTATTCAGGTATATGCAAATAGTTACATAGATTATAATTATCATACATAACAGCTTATGTGTAGAGAACCTGGGATAACCCAAAAAAGTCAGTGACTTATTTCCATTGGGGTCTTTTTTATACTTTATTATTATACTATGAAGGAGATAATATATTATTGTTCTGCAATAAAGGAGGTATACTAGGAATAAGGTAAAAAGAGTTATTTACATTTACGTGTGTGTTAGCTAAAATGAAAAATCATTCTCCTCCCTTTGTCGCTACATTCGTTAGGTACCTTTTGGCTCTCTTCTTGAACTGGCTCATGCTATGATTGGCTTTGACATGTGCAGGCAATCTATTCCATTCTTTTATTGCTGTACAATAATAGATGTTTGAAGCCTGGCCACTGACTGTAGGTACTACAAAGTTGTGCTCTCTTTCCCTAGTACCATGATTGCTTTGGTTCCCAGTCTTGACAGAATTGGCAGCAAGATATTCTGGATACTGTTTGTGGGCACTTTTATAAACTTTATTTAACTTCAATTGTTTTACTCTGTCTTCAACTTCAGAATATCCAATTGTTGTAATTCATCCTGGCTTACATGTTCTCTTGGACCCAGGTTCAGGATGAATCTTACAATTTTGTTCCGGGTGATTTGCAGTTTATCTTTGATTTTTTTGTCAAGGCAGAGTACCACGAAGAGCAAGCGTAGTCCATATGACATTGTATAAGGGCTAGACATAGGGTCCTGTGATCCTCAGTAGGTAGACACTGTGCTTGTCTGTAGAGGAACTTTAGTCTGGCATTCACTTTCTTTACTACACTGTTCCCTATCAGTTCTAACATGTATGGGTCAAAGGGGATTCCCAGATATTTTACTGAGGAAACTGAAGTGGTGGGTTTCCCATTACACCGGACATTAAAATTATTTACTCTTTTCAGTTTGTTTCGTGCCAAAGAGTATGGCTTCTGTTTTCCCGAGGTGTAACGATAGTTTGTTGTCTACAAACCATTTGTTGCAGGACACTAGTTCTAGTGTTATTACATTAGCTGTATCTGGTGGGTCTTTACCTGACACAAACAGAACACTGTCATCCACATACAGTAGGAGTTTGTACTTGACACTGATGGTCATGTCGTTTACATAACATAGAAATAATAAGGGACTCAGAATACGTATACGTACTACCTTGGGGAACTACACATGCTGTCAGCAGGGGTCCTGATTCTGTTTTGTTGATTTTTGACAATTTGTTTCCTATTGCTAAGATAGGACTTAAACCACTCTATGGAACCTATGCTGATAGCTTGTTTCTTACATAATATATTGTGGTTGACAGTATCGAAAGCCTTTTGCAAGTCTAAGGTTACCATTCCTGTGAGGTTCCCTATCAGCACTTCAGTTCTCATGTAATCCATCAGATTAATTAGGGAGGTGTTGGTTGAGTAAGATCTCCTAAAGCCTGATTGGTACCTATGAAGAATGTTGTTGTCATTAAGATACTCAACTACTTGACAGTACATCGCCCTCTCTAGAATTTTGGATATTACACTGAGTATACTAACAGGCCTATAGTTGCTGACATCAGACTTACTATTTTTCTTGAAGATAGGAGTAACTGCTTCGGTGGGATACGGCCGGTTTGTTGAAAGAAGGAGTAACTCTGGTCTCCATGAACCCCTCCGGTATGGTATTAGTGGTGATGGACAAATTTATTATGTGAGCAATGGGTGTCAATGCCCCTGCAGCCTGATCCATGACCAGGCTTCGAAGTGGATCAGGGCCTGATCAACCAGGCTGTTATTGACTGCTACACACAAACTAATGGGTAAGGGAGGAATATTTGGCTATCCAGGTTGTTTCATGCCAAAATGTGCAAGGGTTGAGATTCTGCATTTCAAATAAAAAAAAACTGTTAACCAGATTAGTGTATAATTCTGAAGTCAACCTACTTTGTAGCAACTATGATAACTCGTTTAGGAGAAATGATAAATGCCACTTTTATATTTTCATATATATTTTACATAGTACAGTTTAGTATATTATAACCTTGCACTGAAGGAAAGGAAGGATGGGGCCGGGGGGGGGGGACAATAATGATTTATAAAATACTGAGAGGAATTGACATGGACAGGGAAAGAATGTTTCAGAGATGGGACACAGCAACAAGGGGCTAGCCACAACTGGAAATTGAAAACTCAGATGAGGCACAGGGATGTAAGGAAGTATTTCAGCACTGGAGTGGTCAAGATGTGGAATAATCTGGAGAGTGATGTAGTGGAGGAAGGATCCATACATAGCTTTAAGGAGAGGTATGACAAAGTTCTTAGAGCAGGGAGTGTGTGGACCTAGTAGCAACCAGCGAAGAGGAAGGGCCAGGAGCTGCAAATTGACCCCTGCATCCACAAATAGGTGAGTATTGGTTTACCTTTTTTTTTTTTTTTTTTTTTTGAGGAAGGGGAGGTGGAGACTACAGAACTGTTTATAGTTACAGGGCAGAGCTAATCTCATTGTGTCCCATCTTCAGTAATCTGTTACAGTTGCGTACCTAAGGTATGGCACATACCCTGGGCGCCACTTGAAGGGGCAGGGGTTGCATCATAGATCAGTTTGCATCAGTGAAAGCAAGGAAGGTGCAGTTGTAATTTTCATGTACCATAATTTATTAATTAAAAATGTAATGAGCTTGACTTGTATTTTGGAGCTGATTTTATGGTAAAGTCATCTAAAAGAAGGGTGTAGGATGTTAGGATGGGGGCAGTTTCAGTGCTTGCCACAGGCACTATTTTCTGTAGGTACGCTCAATTGTTTGTTGTATAATTTCATGTGGATTCTAAAAATTAATGAAATTCTTGAAGATAAAATGAATACCATGAACAGAGCTCTGCTCCTGTAGCTACAAATACGTAGTTGCAGTACTCTATTCAAAAGATTAAACCAGTATGGGTCATTCAGTGTTAATGTGACTTATTAGTAGGTTTAGCACTTCTTTTTTATTATAATAATAGTACAAGGTTATAATTAATGTAATGTTATGTAGTATGCTCAGCCTTTGTGGCTTAGCGCTTCTTTTTGATTTTTTTTTTTTTTTTTTTTTTTTTTTTTCAACAAGTCGGCCGTCTCCCACCGAGGCAGGGTGACCCAAAAAAGAAAGAAAATCCCCAAAAAGAAAATACTTTCATCATCATTCAACACTTTCACCACACTCGCACATTATCACTGTTTTTGCAGAGGTGCTCAGAATACAACAGTCTAGAAGCATAAACATATAAAGATACACAACATATCCCTCCAAACTGCCAATATCCCAAACCCCTCCTTTAAAGTGCAGGCATTGTACTTCCCATTTCCAGGACTCAAGTCCGACTATATGAAAATAACCGGTTTCCCTGAATCCCTTCACTAAATATTACCCTGCTCACACTCCAACAGATCGTCAGGTCCCAAGTACCATTCGTCTCCATTCACTCCTATCTAACACGCTCACGCACGCTTGCTGGAAGTCCAAGCCCCTTACCCACAAAACCTCCTTTACCCCCTCTCTCCAACCCTTTCGAGGACGACCCCTACCCGCCTTCCTTCCCCTATAGATTTATATGCTTTCCATGTCATTCTACTGTGATCCATTCTCTCTAAATGACCAAACCACCTCAACAACCCCTCTCTTCTGCCCTCTGACTAATACTTTTATTAACTCCACACCTTCTCCTAATTTCCACACTCCGAATTTTCTGCATAATATTTACACCACACATTGCCCTTACACAGGACATCTCCGCTGCCTCCAACCGTCTCCTCGCTGCTGCATTTACCACCCAAGCTTCACACCCATATAAGAGTGTTGGTACTACTATACTTTCATACATTCCCTTCTTTGCCTCCATAGATAACGTTTTTTGACTCCACATATACCTCAACGCACCACTCACCTTTTTTCCCTCATCAATTCTATGATTAACCTCATCCTTCATAAATCCATCCGCCGACACGTCAACTCCCAAGTATCTGAAAACATTCACTTCTTCCATACTCCTCCTCCCCAATTTGATATCCAATTTTTCTTTATCTAAATCATTTGACACCCTCATCACCTTACTCTTTTCTATGTTCACTTTCAACTTTCTACCTTTACACACATTCCCAAACTCATCCACTAACCTTTGCAATTTTTCTTTAGAATCTCCCATAAGCACAGTATCATCAGTATGCTTATGAAAGGGACATTGACATGTTGCTTATATGAGTTACTGTAGTTGTATTATAAAGTAAGCCAGATACAGAATTGAATTACAATCTGGATAATAGCTGTATAATGATGCTCCAAAGTGTCAAATCTCAATAACCCTTGCAAATTTTGCCAGGAAACCAACACACAACAGCTATGCTAAATCCCTCTATGTATTTGTATTCTGTTAATATTGGCTTATGCATTATATATAAAGCATTGTTTTTTAAGACACCATAATCTATTGCAAAAAATGTGCTGTGGCAGTAAATGAACCCTTAATGTGTACTGAAGGTTTGGAAGTTAAAGCACCATGGTAGTGTGGCTTCAGGTTGAACCAAGTATTATCATACTTGTTGGAGGTTGGCAGATCATGAATAGTGAACCAGGAGGCTTATTAGGCATTCATTACCCTGAACATCAGTCTCCAGGAACCCAGTAAAAATTTGTGCTTGCTAGAAATTCAGCATAACCAACATGTATACAAGACACTTTGCAACACTTAAGTATCATAATGCTGCAACTTTTTGCCTGTGCAGCAGGCTTTGTCATATACAAGAATTTCATACTGGTAGAAGTGGATAAATAATAGTGCTAAAACCACAAGGGTCATACAGCGCTGTATTAAGTGCTAAACCCGGGGAAGCAGGGAGATAACTTATGATGTTCAGTTCCATAACCTTGATATTTTTATACTCAAAGCTAGTGCTAAACCTCAAGGGTCATATAGCACTGCTTAGCCTGAATAGAAAGTGTTGAAAGGCCAAGATGGGTATGTATTAGTGATTGGTGTATATCTACCAGTGATGCATACTAGGAATATCATCATAATCATGGAGTGCTAAACCTGTAGGGATTGTACGGCAGTTGTGGGAGAGGAGGGGGGAGGCTAATTCAGGGATTATTATTATTATAATCAAGGGGGAAGCGCTAAACCCGGAGGATTATACAGCGCCTGGGGGGGGGGATGTGGAAGGCATTCAGGCTTAATTCGGGGAACTGGAGCACAGATCCAATTCCCTAAATCAAGAGCCCCTCACCAGCATCAAGGAACCTTCCTTGAGGGGCTAATTCAGGGAATTGGAGCACATCCAGTTCCCTAGATCAAGATCCCCTCATCAGCATCAAGGAACCTCCACTGAAGGGTTGTAGATATTATGAATGATGCATAAGAGTATGCAAAAGTATGCATCCTGGGGATGTCTCAAGTCACACCATTAGTTATGGTATGACAATGTGTTTAAGGTTGTCAAACTACTACTTAACACTTAAATTTATTAGAAAAGGATATCTAGAATTATACATTTTTTTAATTTTAACATTTTGTAAGAAATAGCAGTACCTTCAGAAATTCTTAATAAATTGACAAATAACATCAAATGCTTTCCAAGTCAGTCACAGTTTATAAGGCTTGGGAAAAAGAAAAGTCCTAGTTATGGGTCCCTTATGTATGTTACTATACTCCGATCAGATTCTCACTAGTTGACCCACAGTCTGTTCATTACAATTTGAGTGTAGGGCAACTAATTATCAGATCATAAAGTTACAAAATATGTATTTAAGTAAAGCTTGAAATGGACCCACAACTGGGTAATTCTCAAACTATTTTTGAAGAACCAGTAAACCACTTACTTATGAAAAATGAGCAACAATAAGTCATAAAACTGAAAAATTACAATGAAATGATTAACCACATCAAGCTTTTTTTAAAATTCACCATTCCAGAATGCAATTTTAATCAAGCCAATATATTTTTTTTAAAGTACCAAGTTTACATATTCAACATACCTACATGTCTTTAGTACCGCATACAAAACCCTTGCTACAATACTGTACCCCCCCTACCATAGGCACACTGATATGTCAGACACGACTGAATTCTCAGTTGTAACTTGGCCTTTTGACTATTCTGTCATTAAATAGGTATGCAAATACTGTATCAATTTATTGGAATTTCATCAAGCTCAGTGACTCTGCAGCTGCATTTACAAGAAAATTAGTCAAAATTATTAAACTCCAGTGCTTGCATACAAATAAGAAATAAATATAGGTAACTAAAGCATTCTGCCTCAAAAGATAACTCCAAAGAGCAAACTTGAAAACTTTTTATATGTACATGTAATAAAATTAAGGTCTATCACAGAATTTAACAGTTATTTTAACGAGACACCTGTAGTTAAAGATGTAAAACCATTAAAAGGGAGGTTTTTTTGTTGTTACTGAATGTCCCACTGCATGACCTCCACACAGGTTTCACTCTTTTCCTAACAATAGGTGCTGCATTCTACACTGTACCATTCACAGTGACTTACCCCAAGTTTGGCTCCACTGAAAGTTCTCACTATGCTGGTTTACCACCAGTGGTGACTAATTTCATCGTATCAATTTAATGCAGTGTCACAAGTACAGATTCTTTATTATTCAAGAACTTTATATACAAACTTAGAATTCTGCAAAATGTCATAAGACCTTCAAAAGGATTATCAGAGGTATATTAGTTGAAAGAAGGCTCCTAACTTTAGATGGTACTAGACTGAGTCATAAGCCAACCAGCATTTAATACAAAGTTATAGGCAATAAGGTAGCAAAGTTAACAGAAGCCAACCGAGGAGCAATAATCACATCGTATGTAAATCTCTGGAAATGGAACAAAATATTAATGTGCATTAACTTTCGGTGCATCTTATACAATAGCCATCGTTCCTTTGACGAAACTCTTAGTAATGTTCCAACTACCAGTGATTTTCTTCCAACCAAAAGAAAAGTTTCTACACGACGCTACCAACTCACTGCAGGGCTCGAATAACAGGAAAGCTTACACACTGCACTCGTCACCTCATTATATATTACTCAGTTCCACTACATTACACAGCACAATGCAGGTACATTTCATTTACACTTCACCTTTACAGAGATGATAAAAAAAAAAAGAAAAGAAAAGAGAAGAAAAAAAAAAAAAAAAAAAAACAGGAGGGGGTGAAATGAATAATAAAATTTTTTGTTCACCCAAACCCTCTTCCCCCCCTCCCCTCCTCCATTAAGAAAAAATGAATTTTGAAATTCAGATATGGTTGACAATTTATTGCAAAATTATAAACCACCCACTATATGAGTAAAATTATAATAACTGAGTAAATATCAAAGAAAGCAAACATTTAATATCATTGCTTTTAATAAACAAGGCAACAATTAACATGAGCAAGTGCATAAGTATGAAGTTATGCAAAGTTCAGAAAAATTATAACTGCTTTTCTTTTTTTCCAATTTATCAGTTCATTTTTTAATTTTTTTTTTACAGAGCTTCACAACTAGTACTACATTGGACTGACTTTGCATTTTAACTGCAGACCATTAAATTTCTGAATTTTTGATAATGGAAATGAAGCATCTCAACAGCAAAGCAATTTAATGCTTTATATATAATATAAACTTGTAAACCATTCAGTGCCAAATATCCAAATTGCTTTCACACTAAATACAGTAAATCAAGGTAGCCATTTAGTATTGCAGCATCTTCTAATATGGAAAATGTCATGCTCATCTGGAAATGCCACCTCTTCCTATATTTCAATTGCAAAATAAACTCATCACCACAAATGTGAAGTAGCTCAGCACAGAATCTGATTATCATGCCTGTAAAACATGTATAAGACTGGAGGCTATGTAACATTGTGGGGGTCAGACAGTAAACCTGTTCTTGGCTGTAGATCCAGACTTAACCATTGTGTCTGTATGAGCTTGAAAACCAATGCTCACATGCCGAGGGATGTTTAGGCGCTCCTTCAGAACATGCCTGTTAAAAAAAATTAAAAAGTTACAAGAAAAATTTGCTCCAACATTAAAACTGCATCAGCAGGACACACACACACTAACTCTTTCACCACTGTGACCCCTGAAATTAAAAGTGCTGACAGTGTCACGATTCCAAAAAAATTCTGAAATGGTAGAATCTTTTTCTGAAGCTAATGCAAAATTTGATGGAAAACTTAAGGAATTATGCAGGTTTGACACAATTTATGTATCTATGATTTCACCCAACTGGAGTTTTATTTTAAGCTAATTCCTTTGCTCAATTGGACCCAATTCCTACCCAACTCGATACTATACCTTCCATTCTGTTGAATGCAAGAAACTGCCCAGTCAATGGGCAATTTTACGCATCAATTCCAATTTAAAAAGGAGTAAAAAAATAGTGTAGGCATTCCAGCCATAAAAGCAATCTTTCCTCTGTTCATTAACAATTAAACTGTCTGAACATACATCTACTTTTTTTTTTTACATGCTTTCAAATGGAGAAAATCAAGGTTGGAGCGCTACGCGCGTAAACATAGATCTCTGTTTGGACACTAAGGGTTAACCCTTTGAGGGTTTTCGTCGTACTAGTACGTTTTACGCGTAGGGGTTTTTGACGTACTAGTACTCATAAATTCTAGCGGCCTCAAATCTAGTGGGAGAAAGCTGGTAGGCCTTCATATGAAAGAATGGGTCTATGTGGTCAGTGTGCACAGTCTAAAAAAAATCCTGCAGCACACAGTGCATAATGAGAAAAAAAAAACTTTGACCATTTTTTTTTTAATAAATCAGCCACTTTGCAGTGTATTTTTGTATGGTATTTATTGTTGTATTCTAGTTTTCTTGGTCTCATTTTATAGAATGGAAGACATATTACAGAAATTGAGATGATTTTGACTGGTTTTACAAAGAAAGGTGCCTTGAAATTGAGCTCAAAGTAGCAGAAATGTTCGATTTTTACCAAACTTCAAAAGTAAACAAATCGTGCCAAGCGTGCAATACACGTCAACTGGTGAGTCTAATATTCTTTCACAAGTGCACCAATAATATTTATACCATTTTTTACACTAATGCAGTAGTCTGCATAATAGTAAATCTTATATTTTTTGTGAAAATAAAAATTCAAAGTGGAAAGCAAAAGAATATAAGAGGGGACTTGAGACATGACTAATGACTAGAGGAAATGTCATTTTAGTGCCAGGAATGTCTTTCTTGTTTATTCTGGACCTTATTCCGAAATTGGCATCTTTTGAAATTTGTGTGAAATTGGCAAAATTGCTAAATTCTGACCACTGTACTGGATAGTTGAATTTCATAAATGAGTGGTTTCTTGCATCCATTCGATAGAAAAAATGGAGTTCTAGCGAAATATTCATGTTTTTTGTCGACTAGTACAGTGAAATTGGCCGAAAATGGGGCTCAAAGTGGGCAAAATCGCCGATGCGTAAACATCGCCGAGACCGCTAACTTTGCGAGAGCATAATTCCGTAAGTTTTCTATCAAATTTCAAACTTTTGGTGTCTTTATGATCGGGAAAAGATTCTCTATCTTTTCATAAGAGAAAATAATTTTTTTTTTTTTAAATTTGGCCGACCCTGAGAACGAGTTTCGGAGAGGGCCTGTCGACCCTCAAAGGGTTAATAATGTCCTCAGGCCTCTTCTATATAACACTTGCCTTTAATTTTGAATCAATCATACAAAAATCAGTTTTTGCACTATTTCTCAGATAAAATACAAGCAAGAATTAGTTGTTTGGGTTGTCCAAATAATCAAAGCAGAACTAGTAAAAACCATGAGACCAGTAGGGAGAGGCCTACATTTCCAACACTTTGAGACCTATATCAAACTACTGCTGGTATGTCTTCCATTCTATCAAATGATACCAAGAAACAGCCAATAAAACCATCCTAGAAAACATCTCCAAGTTATTTTAAACCAAACACAAAATCAGACTTTGCTTTTCTAATCATGCACTCTGTGGGATTTTTTTTTTTTTTGCACAGAACTATGCACACCCACTGCACAGACCCATTCTTTCACCTAGGTTAAAATTTACTGCTCACAGTATGTTTGAGGGCACTGTGCTTAAGAGAGATTTACGTGAGTGGAACTGGCATCAATAACTTGTATCTATGTAAGGGACTGTGAAAGAATTAACATAAAAAGTAGCACCTCCATGTGTTAAAGTGCAATAAACCTAGTCTTAATATTTCTAAGTGTTACTTACCCAAGCAAAAACCACGTGATAGCAATAGACAAAGTGCAGTCTGAAAGAAACACGAGTTGGGAAGAAAATAAAAATAGAGGAACCATCTTAATGGGATGTAAACAATCGAGGTTCTCACAAGGTGAAGACTGTAATGGCTATGTCAAACATTTAGATCAAGGTAGCAAGGCTGATAGCCAGCAACTGCTCACAGAGGTACTCTGTCCTCCTATACACAGGTGAAACAAACCTGTTTTGCATCTCCAAGATTGCTGGTCATTTCTTTATCTCATGAAGGTTGGTGTAAAACTGGTTTATGGGGCACAAGGATCGACAGAAAAACATGAGATTAACAAATAACGATACCTCAAGACAATGCTATAACTAACATTTAACACCTTAGAGCAGTTTTTTGAGTTTTGAGAAATAAAATGTAATGTCGAAACTTGCATTTGTGGTCACAGTGGGGCCCATGCTAACCTCCATGTTGTGTATAGAAATATACCTATTTGGATGAATCTTTTTAGGGCCCGCACTAGCCTGAGAGTTTCAAGACTCATTTGCCAAGGGTTAAGCCTCACCCAGTCTGTGCTATTTTTTTTTTTTAATTAACCAAGATCTCATAGCATCAAGAAAAAACAATGAAATCCAATAACAATTTTTTTTAATTTATTAGGCACCATACATCAAAAAGCCAACTGCCACAGATGAACAACAGAAATCTTATAACTGCAAGCTGACACTAAGAGGTAGTCACTAATTGCTTGACAACAATCTAATACCATGGAAACTGGCAATTTTGCATAACTTTTTTTTTTTTACAAGAAGCAATGAGGAGATAAGTTTGTGATTGGCAAAATAGTAAGTCACAGAAAAGCTGCTGCTTACTGAAATAAATATGACACAAAAACTAACAGATGAAGACACATGTGCAATACCTAGGTATCTTTACTTCAGACATTTTGCCAACCAGTGGCTTTATCAATCAAATACAAAGACACTGGGTGACACAATGTCTCCTCAAGAAAGATACTAGTGTTTCACATTATATTCATCTACATGGCAATTTTCCTAATATTACAGAAAGTTTACATTTGAGAAAGCTGTCATGAGGATAAACTATACACACCATAGGTGCGAGGACAATATGCACGACAAATCGCTACTAATAGGTTTTCAGTTTTCAGACTCAAAATAATGTCAATGAATGGAAGGACAGTCATAAAATGGGTATGAGAGGTCAGCATTACCCATAGAAAGACTGGTTTGCAAGTAGTGTTTTGTGTTGTGCTTGGTGGATGAAGGATCAAACCTGCACCCACCCTCCACTGAATGATCCCAACAGTTTTAGCACTTCACATAAATATATACTGCTCAAAGTGGCTGAGATGAAGAATGTGAGCATTATTCCTGTGTTAATGGAAGAGTGAGGAACGAGAGGATGCAATCAGACAAAATGTTACAGGGTATATACAGGAAGGTAGATAAGGATAGGCTCTTTACTAGCTTTTCAACAAAAGGAGGCATGGTTAGAAATTACACACCAAAGTGAGCTATAGATATATTAGGAATACAACACTGCTTAACTGCTCAAGATAGTGTACTTGAACACAATATAAAGATTGTAAACATCAATATTTTTCTTTGAATGTTTAAGGGTTACATCAAATTTCTGAAACTCTTCAACCATACAAGTAAAATTTATTTAAAAAACTTTGTAGTGGCTAACCCTTGAACACAGTTTAAGGGATCTATGGCATATACAATATATATAATTAACATTAAAGAGATTTCTATAGTATCCAATGTTACTGTTGGGACTACCACAAAAAAGTGAATGCATTACTTTGTTTTAATTTAAAATCACGTATAGTACTAACAGACAGCATTTAGAATGATTATTAAAAAAATAAAAAAGATAACTTACCCAATTTTAAGAATACTCTCATTTTTCTTAGCATCTGCAGTCCACACGCCTATTTTATCTCCTTTGCTACGTACGTTTACAACTGCACCGCAAACTTCATCACTGTGATCCTCGAATGCTTCACCAACCATCAACAGCAGCTGAATTTTTTTTTAAATTATTAACATCACAATGAATAATATAGCAAAAATCTGATGGTGGAGGAATGGTGACAGTGCATAAGAATTCTAATATGTATTGTTAAAATTAAGCAGTATTTTGTTTGAAGCATGAGCAGTGCAACATTTCTAAGAGATTCTGGAGATCAGACTTAGTTCTAGAAATGTGAAGTACAAGAATGGTGGTGATGCTGCTGTCTGGAGTTAATTTGAAATGTTATTTTATTTATTATCACACCGGCCGATTCCCACCAAGGCAGGGTGGCCCGAAAAAGAAAAACTTTCACCATCATTCACTCCATCACTGTCTTGCCAGAAGGGTGCTTTACACTACAGTTTTTAAACTGCAACATTAACACCCCTCCTTCAGAGTGCAGGCACTGTACTTCCCATCTCCAGGACTCAAGTCCGGCCTGCCGGTTTCCCTGAATCCCTTCATAAATGTTACTTGCTCACACTCCAACAGCACGTCAAGTATTAAAAACCATTGTCTCCATTCACTCCTATCAAACACGCTCACGCATGCCTGCTGGAAGTCCAAGCCCTCGCACACAAAACCTCCTTTACCCCCTCCCTCCAACCCTTCCTAGGCCGACCCCTACCCCGCCTTCCTTCCACTACAGACTGATACACTCTTGAAGTCATTCTGTTTCGCTCCATTCTCTCTACATGTCCGAACCACCTCAACAACCCTTCCTCAGCCCTCTGGACAACAGTTTTGGTAATCCCGCACCTCCTCCTAACTTCCAAACTACGAATTCTCTGCATTATATTCACACCACACATTGCCCTCAGACATGACATCTCCACTGCCTCCAGTGATGTCCACATTTCTGGCAAGTCAACTAATGAATGAGATATGGTAAATGTGTTTCCTTCTTTGGGTCACCATATCTCACTGGGAAACAATAATTAACACAGCAGTATGTCCATGTATACAAGCCTCAACACCAAACACTGCCACGCAAATTATGAGAACATAAGAAGAGAGAGGGTACTGTATGCCTGGTCATGGACCAGGCTGCGGGAGCATTGATCCCCGGAATACCCTCCAGGTAGACTCCAGGTATAATAGCACATTATACATAAAAAACTATTGAGTTATATAGACATTTACAATAATGTGTTGGAAACACTGAGAATTTGTGTTGGATGAGATAGTATGATACCCACATACAGGATCATAAAATGACTATATAAAAATGATAACTCTGCACCATCAACAAGAGACCAAGACACCAGTTGCAGGGGGGAAAAAAATAGTAGCATTTCTTCATAAAAAGAGTTGTTGACTTCTGTTATAAGATCCAAAAGGAAGATATGCAATATATTACAACTAGTGAGAACTACAAAATCATATTTAAAGTGGGAGTTATGCAGTGATCAATGTAACAAGCCCCCTATTTGGAAAACTACAAAACCAAAATTAATATTTCAACCTGAATTAGAGGCCTTTTTTAACCCTTAAACGGTCCAAACAGATCAACGTTCAAATTCGTAGTGCTACAAAAGTAGATCTACTTTTTTTATATATTTTCAAATATAACAAAAAAAAAAGGTAGATAAAAGTTTTTTACACGTTTTCAAATGTAAAACAAAAAAGAAGATTACATTTTTTTACATACTTTCAGATGTTGAAAAAACGTATATATATGTTTGGACCATTTAAGGGTTAAGTTCTATTTTTCAGATGTAAAACTTTCAGCATTTTAGGGTCCTCTTAGGTTTTTTGCTAGATGGTATGTGTGAATTCTTTGATTGCTGGAAATATCAGTCTCAAATGGTCCAATGTTTAAATGAACCACTCTACTTAGAGAGAGAGAAAAAAAAAAAAAAAAAAAAAAAAAAGCCAAACAACCATGTTCAAGCAATTAATAAAACCTGGCAAACCTGCAATAAGTATAGAAAAAAAACTTAACCTAACCAAATCTAAACAAAATTTATACCTAACTTGATCATGTTCATTTTATTAATTTACTCTCACTAAGTACAGTGGTACCCCGAGTTTCGTACAGCTCCCAATTTGAACAATTATGTAAGGGTATTATTTTAAGTGCTTTTGTAAGTGTATTTTTGGGGGTCTGAAAAGGACTAATCTAATTTACATAATTCCTTATGGGAATAAATTCGTTTGGTATCGGCACTCGAACAGCCTCCTGGAACGAATTATGGCCAAAACTCAGGGTACCACTGTACTTGAAGTTAAGAAAAAAAAAGTGTACTTCCTGATTTATAGTTTGAACTATAAAAAAAGTATACCTGATAATATAGTATCAATAATGAACATGATGTAGGTACAAAACAGTAAATGGCTTTGAGACAACCCATTACAGTGGAACCTCTGTTTTCGCCATTAATTCGTTCCAGAAAATCTGATGAAAACCAAATTCGACGAAAACTGAAGCAATATTTCTCATAAGAAATAATGTAAATCCAATTAATCTGTTCCAGACACCCAAATGTATTAACAAAAAATACATTTTATAGAGAATAACTGTAGTTTTACATACAGAAAACAATAAGAAATAAATAAAAAGGACAAATGAAATGGATAAATGAACATTTAACATCGCTTTTACCTTTATTGACATTATCTCTACCACTATCACAACCACTACCACTACCACCCTCTACAAAGGTAGAGGGTGGTAGTGATATTTCTCATCAAAACTTTGCAATTTATTCCACTTTCGTACTTTGCTACGAGTTCTTTCTTGAATTCTAGTGCGTTTCTCACCTTCTTCATCAAAGGGCTGGCACTCGGAACTTTCTTTGACCCCATGGTGGCTTATTTAGCAGTTGTACTCAAACAAGAACAAAAAACAATGTATTACAAAATATTTAGGATGAACGTGCTGGGTAATGCTCACTCAACGAGAAACAAAGCCAGACTAACTCAGAACATGTGGGATGCTCTGTGTGGGTACCGGTAGGCGGACACATTGGTACGGCAGACCACTGTCAACTCGACGACAACTGAAGTGATGAATGAAAACTGGGGCAAAACTTTGACGAAAAAAAGTCGTAGAAAACCGAATTCGACGAAAACCTGGGCAGATGAAAGCCGAGGTCCCACTGTATATGCTTAGAAGTCTAACAAGTTTCCACACTAGTTTAAATATTTATTTTGATTTAATGATGCACCTACTTAGGTTTTTCATTATTTTTTTTTTTTTAAAAGTCGGCTGTCTCCCACTGAGGCAGGGTGACCCAAAAAGAAAGAAAATCCCCAAACTGAAAATACTTTCATCATCATTCAACACTTTCACCTCACTCACACATAATCAGTTTTTGCAGAGGTGCTCAGAATACAACAGTTTAGAAGCATATACAGTGGAACCTCAAAAATCGAAAGTATCACATATCGAACATTTTGAAAATAGGACCATTTTTTCGGACAAACCGTGTCCCTATTATCGAACGCGCCCCTATTTTCTGACCGCCGGGTACGGGACCTGTCTGCCGCCAGCGTCCCCGCGCAGGCGCCGTGAGCAGTCTAGCTTTGTTTATGCTTGAGTGAACACTAACCTGTGCTCTCATTCACGCATTTTATGATTATTTCGTTGTGTTTAGTGCTTGTGGGACTGTGAAATAAGTTGCCATGGGCCCAAAGAAACTTGCTAGTGGTACCCCTGTGGTAGAGAAAGTGAGAAACATCATAGATGTGAAGAAGGATATAATACAGAAGTATGAGAGTGGTGCGAGACTTGTTGAGCTTGCCAGGATGTATGGGAAAAACAAGTCGACCATCGGCTCTATCCTGTCAAAGAAAGAATAAATCAAGGAAGCTGATGTTGCGAAAGGTGTTAATATAGGGAGTGGATGAGGTGCCTTCTTCAAAGATTAAGGAGATTTGTGCCAAGCAGAATGATGTCCAAATGTTTGTGCAGAAGTACCACCCTGAGCAAGCTGAAACAAGCCATCTTTGCAACAAGTTCAGCGACAGAACCATGTCCCATTTTAGGGAAATGTTAAAGAGGCACCAGAAACAGAGGACTGTGGCCAGTTATTTTGTGAGACAGGGGTCCAGTGACTCTCAAGCTGGTCCTAGTGGCATTAAAAGACAGAAGGGAAGTAACCCCAGAGAGGGCTTTACCTGAAGTCCTCATGGAGGGGGATTCTCCTTCCAAACACTAACCCCAACTCCCTCTCTCCTCCTCCCTATCTTCCAGATGCCATCACCAATCTTCAATAAAGGTAAGTAAAAATGTTATTTTATATGTATTACTATACATAATTAAAAACTATAGTATTTGTTGTATGTAAAACTGTAATTAATCTCTATAAAATGTATTTTTTGTGTGAATATTTTTGGGTTTCTGGAATGGATTAATTGCATTTCCATTATTTCTTATGGGAAATATTGCTTCGAATTTCAGACTTTTCGAATTTAGAACTAGCTCCTGGAACGGATTAAGTTCGATTTTTGAGGTTCCACTGTACGTATAAAGATACACATGTCCCTCCAAACTGCCATTTCCAGGACTCAAGTCCAGCTATATAAAAATAACCAGTTTCCTTGCATCCCTTCACTAAATAGTACCCTGCTCACACTCCAACAGCTTGTCAGGTCCCAAATACCATTTGTCTCCATTCACTCCTGTCTAACATGCTCACACACGCTTGCTGGAAGTCCAAGCCCCTCGCACATAAAACCTCCTTGACTCACTCTCCAACCTTTCCTGGGCCAATCCCTACCCCACCTTCCCTCTACTACAGATTTATGCACTCTCAAAAGTCATTTGTTCCATCCTCTCTACATGTCTGAACCACCTCAACAACCCCTTCTCAGCCCTCCTGATATTAGTTTTGGTAATCAAACACCTCTTCCTAATCTCCAAACTACGGATTCTCTGCATTATATTCACACCACATATTGCCTTCTCCTAGTTGCAACATTCACCACCCATGCTTCACACCCACATAAAACCATTGGTATAACTATACTCTCAAACATTCCCCTCTTTGCATCCATGGATAAAGTTCTTTGTCTCCACAGACTCCTCAGTGAACCACTCACCTTTTTCCCCTCGTTAATTCTATGATTCATCTCGTCTTTCATAGATCTATCTGCTGACACGTCCACTCCCAAATATCTGAAAACGCTCACCTCCATACACTTTCCCTCTGTGATACCCAATCTTTCATTACCTAATTTTTTTGTTATCCTCATCATCTTACTCTTTCCTATATTCACTTTTAATTTCCTTCTTTTACATACCCTACCAAACTCATCCACCAACCTCTGCAACTTCAGAATTTCCCAAAAGCACGGTGTCATCAGCAAAAAGCAATTGTGACAACTCCCACTTTGTGCTAGATACTTTATCTTTTAACCCCACACCTCTTGCCAACACCCGAGCATTCACTTCTCTTACAACTCCATCTATAAATGTATAGAGCAACCACGGTGACATCACACATCCCTGTCAAAGGTCTACTTTTGCTGGGAAATCTCCCTCTCTCCTACATACTCTAACCTGAGCCTCACAAAAGCTCTTTCCTACTTTCAATAACCTACTTCCCATTCCATAAATTTGCAACATCTGCCACATTGCCCCCCCTTATCATATGCCTTTTCCAAATCCATAAATGCCACAAAAACCTGTCTACCCTTATCTAAATACTGTTTACCTATATGTTTCACTGTAAACACTTGGTCTACACACCCTTTACCCTTCCTAAAGCCTCCTCATCTATCTGCTATCCTGCTCTCCATCTTATTCTTAATTCTTTCAATAACAACTCTACCATTCACTTTTTTTTGTGTTTGTGTGTGTGTGTGTGGGGGGGGAGGGGAAGTTTCAGATATTTTGCAAAATGTCAATACCATATTAGCTTTAGTTTTTTAAGAATGAAGATAGGATAAATTACAGTAATTAGTGTCAGAATAAATTCGGATTAGCAATGTTACCAGGTATACTCAACAGACTTATTTCCCTATAATTTTTACACTCTATTTCTGTCCTCTTTGCCTTTATACAAAGGAACTATGCATGGTCTCTGCCAATGTCAATCCCTAGGTACCTTACCCTCTTCCATAATAAACATTAAAAAAAGAACAACAAACTCCAAGAAAAAAAAGCCGTGTTTATAGCAGGTGTCCAGTGTTTGTGTTGTCAAATGAAAGTAATAACTATCCATATCTGTACTCACCACCTCCATCCAAAAATTATCCAGCTCTGAAGCGCGCTGCTGTTTGTTGAGATTAATGAGCCAGCGACCTCCTCGACAATTATGCTCATCTTCCCACATGGGTTTTATACCCTGCTTAAACATGGAGTAATCACACCCAACTTTCAAATGAGAAGCAGGTTCAATGTGATTGTATAACCTGTAAATACAAACCAAAGATAGTATACCAATAAATGAATTCATATTTTTTTTTTAAATGCAAAACAAAACACAGATGAAGCAACAATCTGTCAAATTTTATAATTCAGATACTAACCACAGCAAAAATCTTTTGCCTCATTCCCTCTGGAACCTCCTCATGTACACTCATTCCTAGAAAAGTGCTGAAAACCTTAGAAGAAACACCTCAGCATGTACAAAGCAATGTAGAAAGGGAGAAAATGCAGAAAAATTCAAAGGTGATTATAGTGTCATTACACTTGTAAATCGTTGCTTCACACATGGCAATAAAATGTAGCTCCAATGATAATGTATGATATTCATTATCCAATGGAAAGTCAAGGCATCCACAAATTTTTATTTCCCAGTTACTATTAAACATATGGTGACTTTAAATACCATATTTATTAGGGGTTGAGCTGAAAACACTAAAGATGCCGAGCTGATATGAGGTACGTACAGTAAACTCTCTTATAAAGCCTTCTATATAGAAATTATTTTTTAAAATGCAACTGAAAAGATCATCGAAAATTGAATAGCACCTACCAATAAGGCCTTTCCATGCACTATTTAATTTAAAATGTACTTTTCAATTGCATTTACAAAATATCACACTACTGAGGAGCTTTATAAGTGCTTAGACTATAGAATACACGTTTATAAAGGGATATGAAACAATATACAAAAAATTTTCTAGTACCTTCAACAGATATAAGAGACTACAGATGTAAGAAAAAAAAGTAGAGCAGAAGGGTTACTAGGAATTTTTTTTTACAAGTAGTGGTTGAAGAATGGAATAAACTGTGAGCTGGAAAATATTAAAAACCACTTAAAATAAAAAAAAAAATAAAAATTCTGAAAACATTTATCAAGACAAGATACCACAAGCATAGCTCTGCTTGTGTAGCTACAAAAAAGTAGATTAATTGGGAAGACTGGTAGTGAGAGTATAGTTTGCCTCATGATGAACAGACAAGGGGATTGAGCCTCTTCTTCTTCTTGTTGGGTTTTAGGGCCACCGACAGCATACGCCGTATCGAGCCCGGCCGTCCAGTGCTAGGAGGGGGAATATCAACCAAAGTGGAAGAATGTCTTGACTAATAACTATGTATCATATGTCTCTGATACGCCCTGAAGCCAGCAGAAAGGAGCAGGTACAAGCCAATATCTCCTGATGGTCCAGAGGGCGAAACCCCTCCCCGCTGAGGAGGACAGGTAGAGTGAAAGTGTGCACCCCAAGTGTGCGCAAGGCCGCACGGAGAGTAGTCCATCTCAGGCTGTGAGGGACACCACGGGCAGTATGGAGAGTCCGTCATCCGAAGGCGATATAGATGAGCCGCCAGTCGCAAGTGCCCGACTCGAAGGCGAGTCAGTGCAACATCCACTGAGCGGTTGGGATGGCGAGCCCAAGGGCAGGGGCCATTCAAAGTTTGGACAGAGCCCAATGCCGAAGAAGAGAGGGAGCGTGCAAGGCCCTCTTGCCACTGATGACGGATTCCCTTCCAAACAGCCCTTGTGAAATCACTGTGGCCCAGGGCAAGAGGGGTAACAGTAGGAAGTGTGTGCGCGGGGGAGGCCAACCGATCTGTCACTTCATTGCCCCAGATTCTAACATGGGCGGGAACCCACTGAAGGGAGATGCTCCAACCTGGGCTCCGCAAGAAGCGCAGGAGGAAAGATTATGTCCGACAAACGAGGATGCGCAGTGATCGTGGATGGGCAGAGCACAAAAGTGCCAGGGAAGATTGAGAATCAGAGAAGAGGACCAATGGTTGTGGGGGAATGTGATCTAGGACAAAAGCCAGAGCCTGGTGAATGGCAAGGAGCTCCCCTGCCAGAACAGAATGAGCAGGGTCCAACCGCCACGTTTGACACGGAGAGATTAGCGAAGAAGGCCGCAGATGTAGAAGGGGGGAGGACCGTGCCGAGCCATCCGTGTAGACTGAGAATGAAGAGCCATATGTAACAGAGCAAAACTCTTCAAATAGAAATGCAACTAACTGAGGGGGTTCCCTGTTCCTGCAGTGCTAATCCAGATGAATGTATCGTGTCAGGTCCAGCCAGGGGGGGTGCTGGAGAGTGGAGAGGGGAGGGAGTCATCACAAGTGCAGGAAGAGTAAGGCAGGACAGGGAACGCTGGGCCCTGGCTACAAAGGAAGGCTGAGCCATACATGGGGGGACAGAGGCTGTCTCCCACATCTGTGAAGAGAGGCAACAGGGGTGAGTACAAGGCAGAGAGGCCATATGATGGAGTCGTAAACAGTTCCTCACTGTCCTCACCAACAAAAGAGGGACTATCCCTGACTCTACCTCCAAGGCTGCGATAGGGGTGGAGGGGAATGCCCCCAGCATATTATGGATGGCTGAATTCTGGAGAATGTCTAAGCGATGAAGAGAGGAGGAAGAAGCCAAGCCATACACCTCACTCGCATAAGTGGGCTTGCTGCGAACCATAGCTATATAGAACTTATAGAGAAGGTCTCGATCCGCCCCCCACTTGGTGCCAGAGATCCGGCGCATAAGTGCAATGTGACGTGCACACGAGAGGTGGAGGGCCGCTGTGTGTTTCTTCCATGTCAAGAATGGTACATCTAAGGTGACTCCCAACCAACAATGAGAAGAGACCAAAGGGATTGGCGTCTGGTTCAATGAGACTGATGGAAGAGTGGGGAGCCGGCGTCTAGTGAAGCATAAGAGCTTGGACTTAGTGTCACTAACCTCCAAACCCCAGGTGGTGGCCCATGATGTTATGCATTGCAGGGCACCCTGAAGTGTTTCCTGTGCTGTCAGTAAAGCTGGGGCACTGCACATAAGGGCCACATCATCCGCATATACCAGGGTATGCACTCCCTGGATGGAAGGGAGATCCGACAATAAGACAGAGAAAATGAGTGGGCTAAGAACAGATCCCTGGGGCACTCCCCGGTATACAGGACAGGGCGAGGACAAAGCACCACCCACTGCTACACGAAAGGTCCTCCCTTGCAAAACGTTGCGCATCCAGCAGAGGGGAGCTCCTGTCAGCCCCATGTGGGCCAGCTTGAAAACAATTGCTGTGTGTGATGCAGAGTCAAATGCTCTGCGTAGGTCCAAAAATGCAGCCAAAAGGAACTCCCGGCATTTAAATGAAGTGTGCACAAGCTGTGTAAATTGAAGCAAAGGGTCGAGGGTGGATCGACCTTCTCGGAAGCCACTCTGGCTATCAGGCAGGAGGCCATGTTCCTCAATCCACCAAGAGAGACGAGTAGCCACCAGTCATTCCAGCACCTTGCCCAAGCAGGGCAGTAGAGTGATGGGCCAGTAAGGGCTCGGTTGGGTATCATCCTTGCCCAGCTTTAGAATCAGAATCAGAAGTATGTTTCCATATATCAGGGAAGACACCTGTATACCAGCTGGTATTGAAAACCTCCAGCATAGCTTCTGTACAGGAGGGAGGTAGATGTAGTATAAATGAATAGGGTAAGTTGTCCTTCCCTGGAGAATAGCGGGAAGAAAGTTGGGAAAGTGCCCGCTGCAGTTCATGGGAGCTAAGGGAGATGCCAGGGATTGAGCCTCTAACACTCCCATGTGCTAAATAATCCAGAAGGATTTAGCAATTCACATAAATAAAATAACAAATGGGTAATTACACAGGTCTTCAGCAGATTTTTCATGCATTTCTTCTTTCAACAAACCGGCCATATCCCACTGAGGCAGGGTGGCCCGAAAGGTAAAAAGAGTGTTTCTCCTTTTAAATTAATATATACAGGAGAAGGGGATACTTGCCCCTTGCTCCTGGCATTTTAGTTGCCTCTTACGACACGCATGGCTTACAGAGTAAGAATTCTGTTCCACTTCCTCATGCATTACATAGTGTTAAAAAGGATTATACGTGATGCAACCCCACATAGGACAATAAAGCCTAAATGACTTAAGAATCCAGTAAAGAATACCAATATACTGTAGCATAAATTATGCCAGTTTGCATTCAGAAATTTTAACATTAAACTCACGCCCAAAAGTCTTCAATTGTATTGAAGCTGGATATTTCCATCTGACAGTCTTCCCAAGTTCTGTTGTTCTCTATCTTAAAAAACCATAATGTCCATGTGTTCTGTAATGGATGCTTGATCAACATGTCTGGTGAAACATCCTGTTGCTCCTTTACTTCCTCCTCACCCCGTTGCTGCTGTTGCTTGTCATTCTGAAATATCAACATTTTGTTTAATTACATACCAGTAATATAACAATGGAGTTAGGGGGTGAACTAGGTTTCATTTGGGATGAAGGGAAACAGTATGAAATTTTACCTTAATTTACTGGCCAATTGCACTTTAACAATGAGTAAAAACTTCGGTAAAATAGGAACAGCCAAGGGATGTGATAGGAGGGGGGGGGGGGAACAGGGAGGAAAAAATATTAGGGATGAACAGGAAGGTGGAAAAGAACAGTAGGGGCAAACAGAGAGGTAAATATAAGCTGGGGTAAATAAGAATACAAGTAGGAGCAAAGAGGGGAATATAAGTAGTGGGCAAATAAAATAGGGGCAAACAGAGAGGAGAATACAAGTAGAGGCAAATAGGGAGACTAAAAATAGGGGTTAACATTATCACCTTCAATCAACATGTGTGATCCGTGTCAGTTGCACTATCTATGGAATTCTAAACAATAACTGACACAATACAAAATAAATACCCTGATGAGCTTTGCATGTAACAATGTTATCTTTCAGGTTGCTAACCCAGGAGGGTTAATAACCAATAAATTAAAGAAGAAACTTTTTCAAAGGCTGCCTAAATGCCATGTATTCAAACAAACTACAGGACCTTGTTAATGCATTGCAACATTGTAAACAAGACATTTGTGCAACATTTGATTAGGGAAGTCTTCACTCCTGAGAGCTTTGTTAATACAGAGTCCGAGAGATTATCAGAATACAGTGGACCCCCGCATAACGATTACCTCCGAATGCGACCAATTATGTAAGTGTATTTATGTAAGTGCGTTTGTACGTGTATGTTTGGGGGTCTGAAATGGACTAATCTACTTCACAATATTCCTTATGGGAACAAATTCGGTCAGTACTGGCACCTGAACATACTTCTGGAGTGAAAAAATATCGTTAACCGGGGGTCCACTGTACGTATATACAGGCAGGCCCTACTATACAGCAGGTTAGGTTCTGGGCTACCACTGTAAAACAAAAATTGCTGTAAAGTGAAACAGCCTTTTCTCACTTTCAAATGCATATAAAAGCCTGATAACATCTTTACACTCTCACATTAAGTGAGCAATAGAGCTAGGCCTAAAAATAAAATGAATATACAGTACACACATTACTTACAATATTTTTGTCCTTAGCTTATAGTGATTGGTGAATATATTTATTGTAGGAAGCCTGAATAAATGAAGAATGGGTGTAACTGAAAACCACTGCAATAGTGAAACACTGTAAAGCGAGGCCCTCCTGATATTACACAATTTACTTGACATTTTCTGCACATGAATTCTCTTCCCCAACATACAGTATATTAATATCTCTTATGGTAAGCACTGGACTGATAAAATTCCCAGAAGTGAAAAGTTAACTAATAAAATATTCAAGTGGTGCACAACTGTCTTGTTTAAATATTTATTAAATTGAGTTGGCCTAAAGTTACTGTAAAAGCATTACAATACAGTAATGTATATCACTTTGAAAATAAATTACCATACTACCTTTAAACCTTATAGCTACAAAGTATGATAAAATGATTTTATGTGGTTTGATAGAAATTTTAATATCAAGTGACACTAGTATGTAGTGTAAACTTTTTTTTACTCGCATATATACAGAAAAACATTATGTTTTATGCTGGAAATAAATGATTGTGAATAACTGTAGGAAAAACCTAAATCATCACAATTATGCATACTATTAATCATTATAAATTTGCTTGTAAGCTGATAATGCACCATGAGCATTCCTCTCTCTGAGATTATATCAAGCACAAGGGAAAATAATAATGATGCTATCAAGGACCCCAATGGAAATAAGTCACTAACTTTTTTGGGTTATCCTAGGTAATCGACACATGGTACTATGTATGATAATTTATATAACTGTATTTATGGGGGCTCTGGTGGCCTGGTGGTTAACGCTCTCGCTTCACACGGTGAGGGCCTGGGTTCGATTCCCAGCCAGAGTAGAAACATTGGACGTGTTTCTTTCCACCTGTTGTCTATGTTCCCCATCAGTAAAATGGGTACCTGGGTGTTAGTCGACTGGTGTGAGTCGCATCCTGGGACACTGACCTAAGGAGGCCTGGTCACAGACCGGGCCGCGGGGGCGTTGACCCCCGGAACTCTCTCCAGGTAATCTCCAGGTAATGTCTACCTGTACCTGAATAAACTTACTATCAAGATATGGTAAATATGCGATGCACGAGGCTGCTGCTGGCATAACACGGCATACTGTTTGAAACTTATTTTTATAAGTAGAAAGAGTACACTTTAGAAATAAACCAGTAACATAGTTGTTTATCATCATTACCAAATATTATCTACTGTACATAATTTTATGGCAGCACAGTAGGTTTGTTTACACTGTCATATGTACAGTCCTTCACTGACTGAAATGTTATGTGGCCAATAACTGTACTACACTCTTTGCTGACCAGAAAAAAATATGCATAGTATATTAATGTATCTTGATGGATATATACACGTTGCACGTCATAGTACAAAACTCAACACGGATATTATGGACATCTCTTGGCAATGAGATCACGGCAAATGTATAGTATAAAGTTTGGTTACAAAAAATTTCTTTAGGAAGTGTTATTTCCTCCATACAGTAAAAACAGTGAATGACCTTAGTCTTCTGTGAAAATAGTGTACTACAGCCAATAAGTTATTTGGCCGGCAGCTAATTACCCAAATGTAGATACAATATGTAATAAATTGAACTGTCAGATGTTTCATTTACTTCTTACAGGTTTAGTTGTGGACTATATAACCTAATCCAACCCAACCTAACATAACCTGGCTATCCTAGGTAATTTACACAATGTAAAATAATCGTACTTGTGTACCTGTGCCTAAATATACTTATTACTGCTGTGTCAGCCTTTAACAATCTGTTCACTACCCAGGCTGCTGACCAAATACACACTTCCTTACTGTAGGGAGAGATCTAAACCTGTAGTTCTACACTGCCGAGGTAACGACACAGAGTTCATACAATGCCGGGGGGAATGGGAAGTACTGTAATAAGGTATGATCCGAGATAGGGGATGGACAGTTCCAAGGACCCTAGTGGAAACAAGTCACTGATTTTTTTGGGTTCTCTTTGGTAATTCACACTATGTATGATACTTGTACTTATAAGTAAGTTTATTTAGGTGCACACACACATATCTTAAGATCAAGATCCTTCACAATCATAGACAATTTACTTAGACATTTAATATACTTATATCTTCCTGGAGGGTGTCCTGGGGGGTCTCAAAGCACCCGTGGCCCAGTCTATGACCAGGTCTCACGGTGGATCTGAGCCTGATCAACCAGGCTGTTACTGCTGGCCACACAAACTGACGCACGAACCACAGCCCGTCTGGTTAGGTACTGACTTTAGGTGCCTGTCCAGTGCCTTCTTGAAGACAGTCAGGGGTTTACTGGTAATCCCCCTTATGTATGCTGGGAGGCAGTTGAACAGTCTTGGACCCCTGACACTTACTGTGTTGTTCCCTAAACCCTAGACCACACACAGGGTAATGTCACTTATTTTTATATTTTCATGTCAATTTCCTCTACTTTACTCCATTAAACATTCTAATCGTCTCTTATTTAAATTTCCACGACTTGACAATGTGTTCCATTCAAGGTCGGTGCCTTGATGCCGGTGAAAGGCTCTTGATCTATGGAATCGAAGCCACCTTTTCCCTTTAAAATACTTACACTATATCTGACCTTTCATCATAGGTAATTTAAACTACGTATGATAATGGTACTTATGTGTACCTATGCCTAAATAAACTTGATTTCTGTACCTATCAATCCCCCCGGGCACTAGAACCCCCACGGGTTTAGCGCTCCATCTCGTGAATTTAATCCGTAATAGCCAGCAGGTAACATTTTTACATAAATATTACATCAAGTATAGTGTTGTACTTCCTGGTAATATTGCGTGTTACAGCTGCTGTTATCTTCTTCAATAATTATTATTATTATAATCAAACAGAAGCGCTAAACCACAAGGGCTATACAGCGCTGTTATCTTCCTCAAACATTGAAACTTCAGCTCGAACAACAACCTTTCTTATCACCTTAATACGTAATTAACTGTATATATCCTAGGGTAATGAACTGGGAGTGAAGGAGAGACGTGAAGTCAGGCTGCGGGATCGTGAAAAACCACCCAGAGTTGAGAGAGGAGAGGAAAGAAGGTCAACTTCTGATGTAGCTTAGACCCGGTAGGAGGCTGTCACGGCCATTATTGCCTCTCCTCAACACCCCGCCGCATTCCAATGAATGAACATTCACCCAGAAATATTCGAGGGAAAATCCCCGGTGGTTGGAGTGAGCGGGAGAGGTCCAGGGAGGGCTAAACGAGGGTAACATCTGCCTTACATACCTCCATCCCGTCCAAGCCATCAGCCGCCATGTTGCACTCTACTTGGAGCGCCTCCAGCACCTCACTCCGAGCCTCGACATGCGCAATTTTAACAATTTCCTATACAAAACCTGCCCATTATGCCCTCTGCCCTTGCCATGACATCAGCAACATCTCGCTGGATTACTACACGTCCCTGGTGGTGTTTCATAAGGGAGGATATGAGAAATGTAACTGGTTTCTGTCAGTCTCACTTCTGCCACGTTGCCCTCAGAGTGGAAATTATTATTTCCCATTTACGGGTTATCCTAGGTCACGTCTCCATAATATATCTCACATATATCATACTAATAATGATGTTCTCAGTGCAAACATTATAATAATAAAAAACAACGGCCTGTATAAAAAATCTATATTTACCCAGAATAAAACTGCTATGACTCTCGTATCTTCCAAGGGAAGTAAGTAGGTGCTAAGTTTCTTTAGGTACAAATACACATAAATACTGTTACATAAATTATCATACATATCAGCCTATGTATAGATTACCTAGGGTAACCCAAAAAGGTCAAAGTGACTTATTTCCACTGAGGTCCTTGTATCTTCCAAGGGAAGTAAGTAGGTGCTAAGTTTCTTTAGGTACAAATACACATAAATGCAGTTACATAAATTACATACATAGCAGCTTATGTATAGATTACCTAGGGTAACCCAAAAAGGTCAAAATGACTTATTTCCACTGGGGTCCTTGTAATATCTTATTATTTAAACCTTAAAAGTTAAGACAAATAAGTAACTGAACTGTGTGAAAATCAATTACAATAAAAAGAGATGTACTAGGAATTATGTAAACTAACTTACTTACATTAAATTTTAAAAAGAGGATCAGATCCCC